TGGGGGTTGGGTTGGTGTGTTGTTTGGGGGGGTGGTGGTGTGGGGGGTGTTGTGTGGTTGGTTTGGTTTTGAAGGGGGGGGGGGGGGGGGGGGGGGGGGCAGTGCTAGTGAGAAGGGAGATTGATAAAAACTAACTGCGGGATCGGGAAAGCGCTACTGCTGTGCTTGATTGCGTAGGTGCCTTGTGGTAGTGGTGAGAGGGGTGCGGACGGCGGAATGCAACGAATCCAATCGAATCCAATCGAATCCAATCGAATCAAGGACTGCAAAGCGAAGCAAAGCAAAACCAAGCAAAGCAAAGCAAAGCAAAGCAAAGCAAGCCAACGTCGCTCCATAGGTAGACAGATGGCATGACCAGCGAGGGTATCAACTATCAACCACGCACGACCAAGACCGGGGGGCAGGCAAAAAATAATATTTTTCGACGCTCGCAGTGCTTCTCCCGCAACGACGGTGACGCAAATACTAATACCGCTTTGGACCATCGCACACATGTAATGTATATAAAAAAAACACACACACAAGGCAAACACACACTAAAGGTGGCTACTGCGTGAGTCCTTCAATGCCGAATGCGGCACAACTGGTCACGGCTCGAGCACATGATAGAACTTCTTGCCAACCTGCAGCACTCGTTGAAGAGACGGAAGGTAGTACGTGGGCACGCCCTTGATGTACGCCATGAAATCCCTGGCCCATGGTGAACCCGCCGCGGGGGGTGCCGTGCTTTGCGTCGCCTGCAGGGTGCTTGCTCGCTGTCAACCAACACATCGGAATAGGAGCGAATATACCGAATCAGCACGTGTCAGCAATACCGAGCGGCAGAATAAAGTGCGAGGGAATGAAGGGTCACCAAAACGCATCACGGTAGAGAGATGAATACACACGAGGTCTGTCTGCGGGGGGTCCTATGGGTGTGCTGTACCTGCTGCACTTGCTGCTGCCCATAGAAAACGCAACGCTCAACTGCCGTACAATTATTGTCTCGCCTCCAACAAGATTGGCAGACTCGCTGCCTGACTGACCGACTCAAACAAGCTACTTGTATGGTTGGTGTGTGCGGTCCGAAGGTTCGGTGAGTTCCAATCGACCCGACCCTCCGCACCATCCCAACAGGCCGACCAACACTTTCTGTAGCATAGAATAACTAATGAACGCTGTACCTCAAACTCAGGGAAACAACAAAATCGAACAGAACAAAGCAGAAATTCGCGCGCGCAGCTGCGACACTCAAACATGTCGACACGAAGAAAGTCACACAAGTTGGTCTTCTCACCGCTTGCAGCAGGGGGATGAGAACTTCGTAGTTGTAGGGCAGCACCATCATCAACGGTCGACCCGTCGTTAGGCTGGCCCTATTTCACCCGGGGGGGGGGGGGGGGAGGGGGAGGGGGAGGGTTGTTGAGGCTGGTGCTTTCCTCCAAGTGGATACATAGCCGCTTGAACACCAGCGTGTCCGACTGGATTACTTGGGTACAATAGGAATAGGATAACAATAAAGGGTTGCTTTCACTCCGTAAACGTGTGAACCAAAGGACACATCATCGAATTTGGCCGTCGAGCACCGAGGGCTTCCGTGCCTCACCCCCCGCCCAGCTTCTCACTTCTCACCCAAGGGCGGGTTAAGCGAGCACCTCCTACAGCCTCATTCCTTACGGCTCAGGGGACTACTGACTACTACACCGGGGCAACGCCCTCGTTGTCCCACCACAGAGTTAAAATACCATTGTCTTCCTTCCACCTGCGGTTACAAACACCACAGGATCATCACCAGACCGCGTTTGTTGCCGGGTGACTCGTGTGAAGACGCGTGTCCACCGCTTCCTGTCATCTCTACACTTGCTAGATATACCTCAGGTACGGCGGCACCCCGAGAGGTTCTCATGCACTGCTCCCAGGACGACGGCGTGTGCTTAGGCCAGCCAAATTCACACATGTGCTGACCATGTGCGACCACGTCGTTCACCATCCTTTTTCTCAAAATACCCACACCTCTTTGCCGCCTCCTCTCTGCCCCGCGTACTTCTCGTGCAATGCCTCAACGCGATGGCGCTCTGAGTACAATCGGACTCGCATGTTCGGCTAGATACTACTCGCGACCGCTTGTACCACATGATATGCGGAGCATTCTCGACCTCCTCCTATCATGTCCTCTCTCTTGTCGTCTCTCTTGTCCTTTATCCCCCTTACGGCACAAAGGGCACTGCTGTACGACCATAGCGTCGGCTACATCTAACCAGCACCTGCTGCTGCTGCTGCTGCACCGTGTGTACACCCATTCCTCACCTTAGATGCCCGAAGGCAGGGGGGGGCGTGGAATCAGGAGAGGGAGGCTGGCTCGTATCCTTGACGAACAGCTGCCACGTCTCCGACCGCGGGATGTCCAAACGCGTCCCTGACCCGCACCATTCCAGCTCGTACTGGTCTACACCGACCCCTAGCTTCTCCAACAGCTGTGAATATGGCGTGGCATTGGCATTGTGCAACAACGTTGTACGGCATCGATCAGCTGAGTGTTCACGTTTTCGTTTGAGCAGCAGACGGCCACCCGCGTGGATGATATCGCTGCTGGTGCGGCATCGTGATGGCCTTGGTTATCGCACATGACGTCACCATCCCACGACGATCGGCATCCTTGTGGCTTCGCCACAGCGTCACTGTTATCACCATTGAACAAGAAAGAAATCCAATCCTTGTAGCAGCGTGTGAACATGGACACGAGTATTCTTCCTGGATAACGATAAAGTACTATTTACTTCATCCGCAATCTCCTCTCCAGTAGGCAAGTCCCACATGCTACTGCTGTCTCGCTGTCTCCTCCCCCACAGAATAAAAAGAACCACGCGTTATCCGCGAACAGAACCTAGCCAACTGTGCCAGAACTATGTGGACTTGTTAACCCAAGGGGATGTTTTGCAACCTTTCTGCAAGTCTTCAGTTTTTCACATGCGTTGCACAAAAAGGCTGAATCCATTGGACTACTCAGTCAGCCAGGCACCTGGCCGATGACGTACGGACCACAGTCACCTTGTCCGGGATTCGGCCGCTCTCTCCAAACCGACGCTGCGAATCCCGGAATGGTCCAGTCCGTTAGCGGTGCGGGACTGGTAACGAGTGTTGGACCAGGCCATCGTTCTAAGCCTCGACTCGTCGAGCGATCACGCACCGCAAACGGGCTGGATCATTCCGGGATTCGCAACGTCGGTTTGGAGAGAGCGGCCGAATCTCGGACAAGGCAACTGCTGTGGTCCGTACGTCATCGGCCAGGCGCTGGCTCACTGAGCAGTCTAATGGATAAGCCTCTATCAAACTCTACCACCTGTTCTGGGGTGGCTACAATAGTGACAGCTCGTTCTTCGTCTTGGAATTGTTCAGACAAGAAAGAGGGGGTGGGAGGTGGGGAATACCGGTGTAACGAATCATGGTGTGGAGATATCAACAACAACAACAACAACAACAACAACAACAACAACACGGGGTATTCAAGCGTACTTGAGCAGCAGACCACACAAAACGCACGAAGCGCTTACACACAAGAAGCGCTAACCGGAAGCGTGAAGCACTGTTCCAAGCACTCACCTCGCGGGGGTGCGTGAGATCCCCCCTTGGCGACGTTGTCGCTGTACCCGCCGCTGCCCCCGCCGCCAAACCGGTCTTGCGGAACACCAGCTCCGGTTGGGCCTCTCGCCGTGGCGGAAGAGGGTCCACCGTACGGTCCACCCAAAACGGTTCCGGTATTGGCCAGAAGCTACACGTAGCGCCACTCCTGGCAAGGGAAGGGAAGGGAAGGGTAGGGGAGGGGAGGGGAAAGTGCCAGACGACGACATCCACTATTGCATTACATCACATCACATCGCATCGCAGAGCACAGCAGAGCAGAGCTAAGTTGGCCCCATCCCGCCAACGAAAGTTCATTTGCCCTAACTTTGATGTCAATACATGTACTGACACCCGGTAGAGGAGGAGAGGGAGAGGACGTATGCATAGTCCCCGAAAGGTGCAGTGCTTACCAAGGTTGAGTAGCCAATGCTTCAGCTGTAACCATCTGAACTTCGATTTCGTGTGAAAAAGTACCATCCAAGTAACGAACAAATCTTGGATGGATCTCGAAGAAAGACTGACTGCTGTGAATGTGACATCTCCGTCGAGCGACGGCGATTTTCTCCGATCACAAGACGCAGAAACAATAACGCCTGAATTTTGTACAAGGCGCACGGCAGACAATAGGAAATAACAAAAAACAGTAATGAAGGTCAAGCGGCGACTGCTCACCGCATGCTGAGGCCGGCTCTCGCCACCGGAGGCCTGTGTATTGCGTTGAAGCCCCCGTCCAAATCGTCGTCGTACTCATCCGCGTGCCCCCCACCGCCGCCCAGGGAATCGTCCGCGCGAAACATCACCACGGGACCCTGCCGGCCAACATGCAAATCACATCACATCATGTCACATCGCATCAAGGCGAACCCCTCTACATCATCTAAAAAAACAGGTTGACATCAAGATAACCACGTTACAGTGCACACCGCACAACTACAAGGTACGGCCGGCCTCTTTTGACTTGAAAACCTCAGCCTTTGCATGCTGCCTGACGAGTAAATATTGAAACAACAGACCACAGTAAACTAGCTTTGCACGCTCTCTCTCGCGCGAGACAGGTGCGGACCGAGCTGCTGATTGCCTGCTGTCTGGTTTCCGGGCTATTTTTCACCGTCACCTGTCAACTTTGTCTGGTCCGTCTTTCTTGTGTATAAACGTATCAAGAATTATTTCAAGCTCAACGACACGATATCCACCCCGCACTGACTTCAAGAAGATCTTCATCCTCCATTCCATTCCAAACTCCAAGTAATTCGTATCCGATACTCCATACATACTATTTTCAAATACCATGAACTACCCTATTCTATGGTCCGAAAGAACACACTCCTATCAAGGATGCAATGGTGATACGCTACGTCTGTGCCAACGGAGGACCTCCCCCCCCCCACCCCCCCCCTTTTTTGCCCACCACCACGCCCCCCCCCCCCCCCCAGGTAACCTTTTTCCTTCTTGTGCCCCTTTCCCAACAAATATTTTACCTGACTAGCCCGGGGCTTGTGCTTTTGACCATCCCCCCCGGCCCCGGGCGCTAGGGACCCCCCCGTTTTTTTCCCCACGCTCTGAAAAGTAAAAAGTGATAAAGAAAGGGACGGGGTAAGTGATAAAAAAAGGTACCTGACAGGGGAAATGGGACGTAAAACGTGAAATGTGGCGCCCCCAACGG